CCAAGATCATGCCATTGCATTCCAGCCTGGGTGACACACAGTGAGACTGAAAAAAAAAAAAAAAAAAAAAAAAATCATTTTGCCTTTCATTTCTTCGGAAATATGTAAACTGTTCATGGTCCATCTCTATAACTCAAGAACAGTCACCCTTATTCTGACAGAGATCACTATACTAACGCAGAGCTTTCTATTTTGTTTTCTTGTGAATATATCATCATTTCTCATTTGAAATAGAGGATTTTAAAGTACTCGGTGCATAAACTTGCCTGTTTTAAGGAAGGCTGAATGATTCCATCCTTGTCACTGGATACTGAGATCCAGAAAGTAGAACAGAGCTTCTAGATCTTATTGGCCTAAACCATGCTGAGTGTGGTGAAAGAACCATTTAAAGAAATTAAATATCCCTCTGAAAGAAAATCCTGAAGCCAATATTCTGGATGCCAAATTAAAGGTTTAGGGGAAGTGTCAGGGGGCTTCCTGTTTTACAGTTATCACAAGAATGTTTCCCTTTCATTTTGGTTTACATATTCTACTTCTCACAAAGAGTTCTCATTTTAAAGCTTAGTTCATTCAGTACCCATTATTCTGAAAATTTGCTTAATGTGGTCTGGCGGATTGAAGAAAATGAATTAGAATTTAAATATAATAAGAGGCATCTGAATGGAGTGGAATGAGAACTGGAATAAAAGCTAGAAGACATGAGTGCCCTGGGGCACCTTTTCCCCTCCCTGGGCCTTTGTCTTCCTGATTGTAAAGGTAGGGGGCTGGGCTACATGGTCTCTAAGATCCCTACCATCTCTGGCATTCTAAGGTTCTACAAGTCCTCCCGACCTCACACACTTAGGCATAAGGTGTGTGTAGGGGGGTGGGGGGCAGGGGTGGCACGGGGCTAGAATTGGGGAAAGATCCTTTGGAGAAGTAAAGGGGGAAAAAATCGCAGGCAAGCACTTCGTTTGAGCTTAGCATATTTAGGGATAGTGTGTGCAAGACGTGGGAAGAGAGGGTGGAAAAGTTGCCAATAGAATAAAAGGTTTACTTTCTTAAGAAGGATAATTAGATCCAAGCCAGCCTGCATCGCTAAAGCCTTTGAAGCCCAACTTCTCCATGCTGTATTGTTGAAAACTTACTAAGAGTTGGGGATAAACTAGTAAGACCTAAAATGGTTGTAAACCACGTCCCCCTCCCACCTTTTCTTAAGTTTGGTTTTGTTTTCATTGAATGTATTCAATAGGCTAGTGTGTCTACCTGCTTTGTTATTGGCATGTGGGGACAAGCAGCTACAGAAAAAAATAAAACTTGTCTATTAGTTTTCTTAGTTTTTGTCACACAATTTGACTATAAAACCTACATCTCAAAAAAGGTGTACCACGTAGTTACGTAGGAGTCAACATAAACAAATATTGCCTGTAACTCACTATAAACTTTTTCCAGACCAGACAATTTAAACATTGGTCTAATTCGGCTTTACAGTTATGAACAAGAGGGCGGTAAATCACCAATTATTTGCTTAAAAGTGGGCTTCACAAAGCTGATCTATATTTTCCTTGATGTTTTGTCATGTTTGTAGCCCGATCAGCCAACCAAGATACAAGAATCAGATCCTTAAACATGGTTTTTCATTTTCTGCAATGAGTTTCAAAGGCAGTAGGAAGCTCTGGGAGAGCCTCTGGGCAAAAGATAAAGGTTACAGCTAGTGGAAGTTGTAATTAGAGCCAATTACAACTTAACTTACCTGCTTTGTCATTAAAATGTCTGTCAGACCTCTCATTTTTCTACACAGAGGGAAAGAAAAGGTATAGCTTAGTAGGGGAGAGGGTTAGCCAAAGGGAAGGAATTTCTAGTACTGTTTACAAATGTACCCTGTAACCTTAGACAAACACATTGCCTTTTGGCTTTAGACTGCTTTGCTCAAAGTTTAACTCAGGGAGCTGAACAGGACTTAGGAAATCACTTGGTCTAGTCCCCTGCCCTCTAGCAGGCAAGGTATTATTATTGTCCCAATTTCTCAAATTAGATATGAAAGACCTGGAGAATTTAACTAACTAAAATATGTCTTCTGCCTCCTTGAGTGTAACAGATTTGATTTTGGTTTCACTTATAGCTTGTCATAAGAAAAATGGAATTATTCTCACTTCTCTCACAGATACGTTGTGTATAGGTTAACACATGATAACTACAAAGCACGTTGAAACTACTAAGGAAAGCTTATAAACATAACATTACCCACAAACATACTAACACTTTGAATGAATGGGTCTCAGAAATGTAACAGAAATATTTGGATTTCACTTTTTAAAGAATTGGCTTGAGGGAAGAAGTAGAATTACACTCAATGGACCAACCTCACTTTCTGCAAATGTAAAGGAGTAAAAAAAATTGAGAAAGAATGGGAATGCCACTAACGAACATACCATTATGTTTGAGAGTAATTAGAATAACTGAATTTTGTGTGTAAAAATCAAAATTCCGAAACAAAGCCTCCTTAGGGGGAAAGTAAAATAACAGGTTTTTATTATAAGTATCATTGTAAAAGTTCACTATCCTATACAGCCTCTAATGACTTTTTTTTCCTTCTGTCCTTCATGCTTGGACCAATTATCTTCCTGTCTTTCTTCACCTTGCATTCTAAACCAAATTACCCTCACCCAAATAGCCATCTTTACTTGCGAAACATTATCATCTGCCTCACAAATCCTTGTTATCCTCTATACTGAATTACTCATTCAGGATTTCAAGGCTCTTTATCAATCCACTCCAATTTAGTCTCTTTCCCGATCCTTCTCTTTGTTCTCTTTCAGTACTATACTTTCTCCACATATAACTAAAACGAATTCCATCCTTGCATCTGATAAGCCATCTTTCTTCACCTTTCTTGAAAAACAACACATATATGACACGAGGAGCATAGGGATGGACCTGGGTATACTTAATAGGAAAGTCTCTTAGTAGTCATCTGATTTGCAAAGCTGAAGATTACAGCCAAGCTCCCCTACCCCTTACATGTTTCTATCAGAGAAGGGTGGAATGTTCAGGAACTTAATGTAGGGGAGTGTTGCTGGGTAGAGACTGCTTGTGATATGTTATATTAAAGAGGGCCTACTTGCAGTATTTTAGGATTTGCCTCACTCCTTCATTCTTTCAATTATAGTTGTATCCTTATTATCTTTATTAATGGCCTCAATTTATATGCTGTCTTTCTTGGCGAAGGTCTGTGCAGCAGTCACTATCAAAAAGACAGATCCCTAGAAAGCAAGGAGGAAGGATGATTCCCTTAGTTCACTGGCACAATGGTTATCAGGAAGGTTGTTCCAAAGAGAGGGTGGTAGTATCTATCATAATGGAATTTTATGGCAGCTCTTAGGGGTGAGCCACTATCCTGTTATTACATCCAACGCTAGTGATGTGAACAGTTTAGTTACCTGGCACATATTGAGCTTTGACACAGTATAGATTTCGGATTTAAAACTTTATTCACCCCATATAATAGTATATATAAAATGTTGCGAAGATGAAAGCATTTCTGAAACTTGGTCACTCCATGGGGACTGGCTCAGATTATAGACTTGAAAAAAATTAACGGTAGAAAAATGTTTAATCTCTAAGGATAGATTTGATTTGGAGATAGCCAAGTCACTTGAGACTGAGTCTGGTGAAATAAAATAGTAATACCCTGAACATAATTTTTAGTATAATAAGACATGTAAAAGGATTGACCTGTTTTACTGTTGAGTAAGTCTCTACAGCCTCACAACATGTTACCCTCAAAAGAAACAAGGGCTACCGGGACAGATATGTAACTGCTCTTAAATTTTGTTTGGGGCACATAAATATGGATCTGATTTTATGATAATGGAGGGAAAATGAACATAGCTAAGGGAAGGCTATAAAATATTCAGCTTCTTTGGAGGCCAGATAATAAGGTTTCCATCTACCTGCTATAGCTTCTGAATGGTAAGCAGCTTTTCTATCAAGTGTGGGTTGGTAGCCCTGCTTGACTTAAAATGAGTGTTACAGTTGTTGGGAAACAGGAAATGGGGCTGGATTACACAAAGACATCCAAAACTAACACAAACACACATGGGCTTCCTGGTATGTAAATTCTCTTTGAGATTAGAGATCTCCCTTTACAGAATTTAGTATAACAGATTCAATAACCAAACTTTGTGACCTCTCAATATTAAATAACTAAATGTGCAAAAGAACCACCATTATATAGGATAACAAAAGCTATACATTTTCTATGAAACATGTGCACATATTTTCAAAGCTGTGAAAATACAATAAAGAGCACAACACATTTTGGTCACTTTATTAAATGACATTAAATAGTTTAAGTTTCAACTACTAAACAGCACTTTGAATGGTGAAAACACAGATAGTATATTGTCATACTTGAATGCTTTTCTTTAAAAACACAATTCCAGTCCTTATATATATTACAAAACAGCCTTAAAGGAAGAAGTGACATCTTTTCTACAGTACTTAAGATACTCAATACAGAACTGAAAAGCAGTCTAACAGAAACAAAGGCAAGTCTTCACAGCTGTATGATTTCAGCAGCCAAAGCTGGATGACGGACTGAAACATTACTATACAACTGGGACAAAACATATACAATATCACAATACTAAGCAAAAACGCTTTACACCCAAAGAAATAAAACAGGTTACAAAATGTGGAGAATTTAGCAGGCAAAACTGTATTACAAGCAACATTTTAAATCATCATTTTTAATCCATTGCAACTATTTAAAACATCTAAAACAAATATAAAAATGAGCCTTTTAGTATTTTATTGACGTGATTTTTTTGTCTTTAAATATTTGTTAAAGCTTGATGTTATACTCAAAGTACATATTATGTAGCTAAAATGTCAAGTGAGAAGAGTGTATACAAAGTGGTCCAAGTTTTATTTCAAACTCTGATTTCCAATTAATCCTTCTAAGTATTATTCTTTAAGTTATCGTTTCATCCATGGTGAAAAAGGTTTAGAAGGTTGCCTAAAATTTTCACATCTATGTCTTTGAGTAAATAATTAGACCGTGTTGAAAATTCCCAGGTCTAGTAAATCAGGTTTAAAATATTCTGAACTTGTAGAAATACCAACTGATAACAGTTGGCCAGAGTGTACTGCCTTCAAATATTTCTCATAAATCTTGTCTTTTTCATTATTTCTAAAGTAAATACACACCTGCCCCACCCAATTAAATAAATCTGATTACATGGCTAGCATAATATCTAAATATACAGAATTTATTAGTGATATTTCATCATGGGAAGGTGGGGGGGAGGGGCGTGGATCCACCAAACCTCACAAATTCTGTATCACAATCCTAGTGCTCTTGGATGTTTTACCACTAGTTCTTCCAAGATAAAAATGGCAATCTCTTAATCATCCAAACAACTCAAAGCAGTTTTAGCTAATGTTAAACTCATTCTAATCCAGTGATACCTAAAGCAAAGCCTACACCCAGTTTTTTTTTTTTTTTTTTCTGGAATTCTTAAGCTGTTTCACTACCTGTTATATCATCATCTCAAAATGGTTTTGCCATGTTGAGTTGACTCCCATAGTCAAAAACAATGTTTTCTTTAAGAATTCAAGTAATCAAAATTGTACATGAATAAAATTATAGGTCATTTTTACAGAACTGGATTAAGAAAAAATAAAATGTAATACATTTTCTAGTAAAACTTCTAGTAAAGGGGTATTGGATGAATTAATTTTGATTTAATAATTGCCTCATGATCTAAAGAAAAAACAACTCTGACACAATTTTTAAAAATGTAAGGAAACTGGGGTAAAAGAACATGATGAGAGAAAAGAAGCGCATAGAAGCCAGTGATTCTTATCTTTCAGAGGAATTATTTCGCAATACTGATAGTACTGGGAATTGTTAAAGCACATTCCTCATGTGAACTTAAAGTCAGCAATGGTTCTGCCATTTTGATGTTGTTTATAAAACAGGGTGTGAACCTAACAACCACAACTTCAGTGTTAACCTCCTAAAATGCTAGAACTTGATTTTCTAAGTCCACATCCCACTGCCAGCAACAGGATGAAGCACTAGCACTGGCACCATGCAGTTAAGAGATGTGCTTTATATTCGTGCCAGGAGAGAGAAAATTCATGTGTGGAAGATAATCCACAACCCTGAAATTTTACCAGTAATTATTTCAGCACATATAACTGAAAATAAAAAATGGCAGAAGGACTAAAGAAGAAAAAGGAATTCTCTTCTTAGGCTATACTTAAGGCTGTTTATACAATGCTAGGATAACTGTAAGACTCCTCCAACTTTTAGAGCAGTAGTATTTAAGAATATTGCACACAATTCTGTGTCAAAGATAACCCTCAGTTTCTAACTTTCAGTCACAGAGACAATAAAAAGCAGGAGCCCAGTTTCAGACTTCAGTCAAAAGAACATTAAAACCATTTCAATCACTTTAATCAAGAAATGGATTAAGTACAAAAGTATTTCATAACTTGAGGAATCAACTCTAAGAACTCAGCTGTGTGTTTTTCTATGTAAAGAATGAATATATAAATCTTTATTCTTTCCTAAATTTATTAACTTTATGACAATTTTATGGTTGCTAAAAGCAGGCATAAAAATTTAGAGAGGAAATCTGTGGAGCTGTTACTATTATGGAAGAAGGATTTGTTTTCACTGAAAACAATTTGAAATATCTTCTGTACTCAATGTGTGTAAGAAGATTCTAGGCAACATCACTGACAAATGTCAGGAAGAAATGGTATGCCCTATTTTTTAAAAAAAAGTAAAACTAATATGGAAGATTGGCATTTAAGGGGACCAAACTATTTATACAGTTGAGTTCTGTTAAGTCATTGATTCCTAAAAAAATAAAAGATCTTTCTATGATTTTAACAATCCATTAAGCTTTTAGTGCAAAATCACATTGATTTCCCTTGGGAAGGTCCTGGATTTTTGCTTCTCATTGGGGGTGGTGCACGCTGTAATGGTGGTGGCTGCATACCACCAGCCACTGGCTGATACATTCCTCTCATATCAATCTGCTGGTAGTTAGAAGGATTCATGATCAAATTTGGAGGCTTTGGCATCATGAGGTGACCCAGTGTTGCTTGTTGATAAGTCATTTGTTGCTGTTGCTGCTGATTGTACTGCTGCTGGAGCCTTCTGTTCATAAGTATTCGCTGAACACAGCTGATTAGCTATAGAGAAAAAATGGGAGTCGTTACAAGTGCATGACCTGTCTCAAAAGAGGTATCAAGTTTTGACTTAAAATCAATTTGTTAAGGGGGTACCATACCAAAAGGAAAACACATTATTGTTATCACCATTACTAATTTGATGGCATTCACAGGACCATTACTGTAGAAACCAGTTAGTAAGACCATTTAGGGCTAAATTCTCTTAATGTCTTGACTATTATATTGCAAGCAGCATTTAGGTTAGTTGCCGTAGTAACGTGTTCTGTACTGTGAGTAGTCTCAAGTATTAGTTACAACACTTTTTGTTAAGACTCCTTTCTTTGTCATTCTTTTGAATATTTCACATGATGACAGACAAACATTTTAGTGACAAACACCAAAGGGAAAGGCACTTGCAGTAGGAATAATTCTGACCTGGAATGTCTCAAGTTTCCTAATATAATGTAAAACCACATAACCCTGCAGTACCTTTTAAGTAAAACATATGCCACAGAAATACATTCCCTGGTGTCAACAGTTGAAATTTCCAGGTATAAGGCAGAAGGCTGGCAAACAACTGTGTTGGGAAACATGATCAAGGATCCTGGAATACGGTACCCTTTTAAAGAATTATGTAGCTTAGTTAGCTCTACTTTTTATTCTCAAATTAAACACACTGATAAGTATACTACTGTTTCGAGGCTGTTTAACAATGCCAAATGTGACTGGAGGCAGAGCAAGATGGCCGAATAGAAGCCTCCACTAATCGTCCTCTCTGAAGGAACTCCAAATTCAAAAACTATCTGCAATAAAATCACCTTCATGAGAACCAAAAATCAGGTAAGCAATCACTGTACCAGATTTTAACTTCATATCACTGAAAGAGGCACTAAAGAGGTTAGGAAAGACAGTCTTTAACTGCCAATGCCAACCCTCACTCATCCCCTGGCAGCAGGCACGTGGCAGGGAGAGAGAATCTGTGTGCTTGCAGGACAGAGTACAGTGATTGTGGGACTGCATTGGAACTCAGTGCTGCCCTGTCACAGTGAAAAGAAACATCAGGCAGAACTCAGCCGGCACCCACAGAGGGAGCATTTACACCAGCCACAGCCAGAGGGAAATCACCTATCCCAGCAGGCGGAACCTGAGTTCCGACAAGCTTTGCCACTGTGGACTAAAGAGTTCTGGGGGCCTAAATAAACCTGAAAGGCAATCTAGGCCACCAAGACTCCAAGTCCTGTGCTGGGCTGAAAGCCAGTGGACTTGGGGGGCACATGACCTAGTGAGACAACAGCCAGGGTGGCCAGAAGATTGCTTCTGCCACACCTTCGCAAACCCCGGGCAGCACAGCTCACAGCTCCAGGACAGACTCTTTGCTTTTGCTTGAGGAGAGGAGAGGGAAGAGTAAAGAAGACTTTGTCTTGCAGCTTGAATATCACCTCAGCCACAGTAGGATAGGGCACCAGGCAGAGTCCTGAGGCCCCTGTTTCAGGCCCTAGCTCCTGGATGACATTTCCAGACATACCCTGGGCCAGAGGAAACTCGTTCTCTTGAAGGAAATGACTCAATCCTGGCAGGATTCAACATCTGTTGTCTAAAGAGTCCTTTTGGGCCCTGAATAATCAGCAGTGGTACCCAGACAGTACTTGCAGTGGGTCTTCAGTGAGACTCAGAGACATGCTATCTTCAGGTGGGACATAGCACATTCCCAGCTGTGGACACTATGGGAAGAGGCTTCTGCTTGAGAAAAGAAGAGGAAATAGTAAAGAGGACTTTGACATACAGCTTAGGTACCAGCTCAGCCACAGTGGGCTAGGGTACCAAGCAGACCCTCGGGGACCCTAATTCCAGGCCTTGGCTTTTGGATGGCATTTCTGGACCTTCCCTGGGCTGGAGGGGAGCCCACTGCCCAGAAGAGAGAGACATAGTCCTGGTAGCATTTACCACAAGCTGACTGAAGAGCCCTTCGACCCTGAGTGAACATCAGCAATAGCCAGGTAATACCTGCTGTGGGCCTGGGATGCTAGTGATCACAGGGACAGACTCCTTTGCTTGTGGAAAGGGGAGGGAAGGGTAGAAAGGATTTTGTCTTATGGCTTGGGTGCCAGCTCAGCTGAAGTAGAATAGAGCTCCAGGCAGATTCCTAAACATTCTGACTCCAGGCCCTGGATCTTGGATAGCATCTTGGGACAGGCCTAGGGCTGGGGGAAATTTGCAGCCCAGAAGGGAAGAACACAAGAGCTTTGCCACCTGCTGAATGTGGAGCCTTAGAGCCTTGAGCAAACAAAGGCGGAGGCCAGGCAGTAGTTACTGTGGATCTTGGGTGAGACCCACTGCTATGCAGGCTTCAGGTCTAACCCAGTGTGGTCCCCGTGAAGGGAACCAGAGGGGTGGTTGTGTCACCTCTCCACCAGCTTTCCAGACAGCTTAGCACAGACAGAGAGAGATTCTGTTTGGGAGAAAGTAAGGGAAGAGAACAAGAATCTCTGCCTGGTAATCCAGACAGTTCTTCCAGATCTTATCGAAGACCACCAAGGCGGTAGCTCTATGAGTCTACAAGACTACAACAGTCATAGCATTACCCAGTTTGGGATGCCTTCCAATGCAGATACACATGGAGTGACCAAGAACTTAGATCACAATATCTATCTCCCTTTGAATACCTAGAAAGCCTTCCCAGGAAGGATGGGTACAAACAAGGCTAGATTACAAAGATTATAATAAATACCTAACTCTTCAATGCCCAGATACGAATCAATGTCCACAACCATCAAGACCATCCAGGAAACACGACATCACCAAACGAACTAAATAAGTCCTAAGGGACCAATCCTGGAGAGACAGATACATGTGAATATATGTGACAGAGAATTCAAAATAGGTGTCTTGAGGAAATTCATGAAACTCAAGATAATATGGAGAAGAAACTGATAATCCCATCAGATAAATTTCATAAAGATATTTAAATAATTTAAAAGAATCAAGCAGAAATCCTGGAGTCAAAAAATGCAATTGACATACTAAAGAATGTATGAAGAGTCTCTTAATAGCAGAACTGATCAAGGAGAAGAAAGAATTAGTGAACTTGAAGACAGGTTATTTGAAAATGTACCATCAGAAGAGACTAAAGAAAAATGAACAAAAAACAATGAAGCACATCTACAAGATCTAGAAAATAGCCTCAAATGGGTAAATCTAAGAGTTATTGGCCTTAAAGAGGAGGCAGAGAGACAGATAGGGTATAAAGTTTATTCAAAAGGATAACAACAGAGAATTTCCCAAACCTAGAGAAAACTATCAATATTCAAGAAAAAGAAGGTTATGCAACACCAAGCACATTTAACCCAATGAAGACTACCTCCCACCATTTAATAATCAAACTCTCAACGGTCAAGGATAAAGAAAGGATCCTAAATGCAGCAAGAGAAAGGAAACAACATACAAAGGAGCTCCAATACATCTGGCAGTAGACTTTTCAGTAGAAAACTTACAGTCCAGGAGAGAGTGACATGAGATATTTAAAGGGGTAAAGGAACAAACAAACAAACAAACAACTTTTAACCTAGAAGAATATATCTGGTGAAAATATCCTTCAAAAGCGAAGGAGAAATAAAGACCTTCCCACACAAACAGAAACTGAGGAATTTCAATACCAAACCTGTCCTACAAGAAATACTAAAGGGAGTTTCTCAGTCTGAAAAAAAGGATGTTAATGAACAATGAAAAATTACATGAAGGTATAAAACTCGCTGGCAAAAGAACATTAGTTTTCTCTTTGTTTGTACTTTGTTTGTTTATGCAATCAGTGTTATCATCAGCTTAAAATGATGTATTATATTATTTGCAAGCCTCATGGTAACTTCAAATAAACAAACATACAACAGATAAACAAAAAACTATCAGCAAGAAATCATACCAGGCGCAGTGGCTCAGGCCTGTGATCCCAGCACTTTGGGAGGCCAAGGTGGGCGGATCACCTGAGGTCAGGAGTTCAAGACCAGCCTGGTCAACATGGTGAAACCCTGTCTCTAGTAAAGATGCAAAAATTAGCTGCGCGTGGTGGCAGGTGCTTATAATTCCAGGTACTTAGGAGGCTAAGGCAGGAGAATTGCTGAAACCCCGGAAGGCAGAGATTGCAGTAAGCTGAGATCACGCCACTGCACTCCAGCCTGGGTGACACAGTGAAACTCCATCTCAAAATAATAATAATAAAAAGAAATTAAAACATACAACCACAGAAAATTGCCTTAACTAAAAGGAAGACAGGAAGGAAGAAAAGAAGGAAGAGAGGGATCACAAAACAACCAGAAAACAAATAACAAAATGGCAGGAGTAAGTCCTAACTTATCAAGAATAATGGGGTTGGAGGCTGGGCGCAGTGGCTCACGCCTGTAATCCCAGCACTTTGGGACGCCGAGCGGGAGGATCACAGGTCAGGAGATTGAGACCATCCTGGTTAACATGGTGAAACCCCATCTCTACTAAAAATACAAAAAATTAGCCCGGCGTAGTGGTGGGTGCCTGTAGTCCCAGCTACTCGGGAGGCTGAGGGAGGAGAATGGTGTGAACCTGGGAGGCGGAGCTTGCAGTGAGCCCAGATTGCACCACTGTACTCCAGCCTGGGTGACAGAGTGAGACTCTGTTTCCAAAAAAAAAAAAAAAGAATAATGGGGTTGGGCAAGATGGATGACTAGATGCAGCAAGGTGGAAAAGCTGCCACCGAAAGACAACGATGACTGGCACACTCCTAACAGATCTTCAGAGACAAGGCAATGAGAGTGGATGGAGGGAAGACACAGAAGCTTGGCTGAAGGAGGAGGAAGCTGGGAATCCTGAATGGGGCTAGGCACACCAGGACTGGTTCCTGGCCCACAAGAACTCCAGGGGAATGAGTGAGTTGAACTGGCAAGAAGCAACTGGCTCTTGCCTCGGGCCTCTGGAATTCCAGCAGGAGACCCACAGCCAACATTATACTGAATGGGCAAAAGCTGCAAATATTCCTCTTGAAAACTGGCACAAGA